CTGAACCAGATGGGACAACTGACAACCGACGCCCAGGAAAAAGCAAACCTGCTAAATGGGCTTTTCATCAGTCCCATGGGACGGCCTTGCCCACTATGGATCAGGGAGGCCCAGGTGAGGGAGATTCTTTGCCCTCCATCGAAGCTGACCTCATGAAGGAACACCTTGACAGGCTGGATACCTTCAAGTCAGCTGGCCCTGATGGGTTACACCCAGGAGTACTCAGGGAGCTGATGAGCATCATAGCTCAGCCCCTGGCATGGATCTTTGAGAGCTCTTGGCGCTCTGGTGAAGTGCCCGATGATTGGAAGAGGGCCAATGTTGTGCCTATCTTCAAGAAAGGGAGGAAAGTAGATCCAGCAAACTATAGGCCCATCAGCCTGTCCTCTATCCTGGGGAAGGTCTTGGAAAAGATTATCAAACCATCCTTAACAGACTAGCTGAAGGTAATATCCTGAGGGATAGCCAGCATGGGTGTGTTGTGGGTAGGTCTTGCTTATCAATCTCATTTCCTTTTATGACCAGGTGACCTATCACCTGGACAAGGGAGAAGAGATCGACGTTGTATAGCTTGACTTTAAAAAAGCCTTCAATCTGGTATCCCACAATCACCTCTTGGCTAAACTGGCTAACTGCAGCCTCGATCGCACCATGATTTGCTGACTGGGGAATTGGCTCCGTGGTAGGACCCAGAGGGTGGTGGTCGATGGGAGCCAATCGTCTTGGTGCGCTGTGACCCATGGGGTCCCTCAAGGCTCTGTCCTAGGGTCTCTACTATTTAACATCTTCATCAATGATGTGGACATTGGTTGCAGAAGCGGACTGGCCAAGTTTGCCAACGACACCAAGCTCTGGGGTCAAGCATTCACACCTGAGGACAGGAGGGTGATCCAGGCGGATCTGGACAGACTCATGAAATGGGCGGACGAGAACCTGATGGTATTCAACACCGATAAATGAAAGGTTTGGAATAGACTGCCGCCGGAGGCGGGTCAAGCACCCACTTTGACCTTCAAGACACATTTAGATGCTTACCTTGCTGGGATTCTATGATCCCTGCTGACTTCCTGCCCCTGGGGCAGGGGGCTGGACTCGATCATCCTCCGGGGTCCCTTCCAGCCCAAATGTCTATGAAATCTAAGGCCTAGACCCACATGAATATTCCTACTGAAGCCTATAGCTGTCTTTTGTGGGTACAGCTGATGTAGGACAAGGGCCTAAAGGACTTTATTTTCCAAGGCTTACAGTATTCTGCTTTACTGACATGAAGATCACTTAAAAGAAAAATCAAATCCAGTTTTATTTTCCCTCTCCCACCACAGGTAAAGAACATGTAGCAGAGTCAGGATTAGCTGGGAGATGATTTTTTTAACTGCCTGGGAACCCACGTACAGTTCAGGGAATAGCAATAATAAAAATGCTCACATATCAGATGTACTATACTTCCACTGTATTGCAAACCTCAAGGGTCCAGATAGTTTGCACCAGCCAGGCGTTCAAAACTCATTATATGGATTTGAAAATGAATGGGATTTATTAAAAATAATACTCTTTTTTTGAAGGGGGGGCGGGACTTTTTTGTGTGGTTAAAATGCCATTACATTTCCTGGATTTTCTCTGTAACCATGGAAAGTTAATTTACCAATGAAAACAAAGATTCTCACAACTCCAAGACCTGAAGCTTTAAGACAGATGACAAATATTTTACAATTTATAATATAGGTATGAGATTAGGTGACCCTATCAACATGTTTTAAGCCCTCTATTTAAAAAAAAAAAAAGGAAGAGAGTGGTGGCTAGCATCCATAATAGGTGGGGGAACCTTCTGGGTCTGATCCAAAGTCCCTTGTAGTTGGTGCAAACTTTTTAACCAAATTTGGGTTTTGCTTCAGGTCTTATCTGTCTATAGACCATTTGTTCAGCTTTTAAAGCAAGTGCAGCCTGGAGAATTACTGATCCATTATGTTTTGCTTTGTTTTATTCTTTTCAAAGGTAAAACTTAGTATGTTTAAAATGATCTTTAAGTGACCCAAAAAAAGCTTGTGTTCTAAAACTATAATGTTTATGTGGATCCATTAAGTTTAAAACAGCAGAGATGTTATTGTGCATTATCAGGGCAATACTTTTAAAGCATGGATCCATTGGGGCTAATGATGGCTTGAAGAGCTTTAATGAATCAGTTGTTAACTGCTACTAATCTGGTTGTGTTGATGCAATCAAACTGTGCCATGCATAAGCATATGCCTCCTGCATCTGTTAGAGGCAGAGATAACAGTGTCTTGAAAGTGACACTCAGCCTGCTATAGTTGTAGAGGGAAATTGTTATTATCCTTAATTAGATGCACAAATAAATTCTTTGACTAATTCTGCATTTACAAATAGTCTTTGTTCTGGCATTAGTAATACAGTTTATCCAACAAATATGGTGCATCCCTTGAGTCAGGGAGGCAGAATGAATGAGGCAGCATACTCAACACGCAGAGTTTTGTTAACCCCTTTAATGGCTTGCAGAAATGCATTAGAAAAGAAATGCACTGAAACAGCAGCTCTAAAATGTGTTAAGAGCTAGGGCTGCCGGCCCTTAGATGCTTAACTGTAACTACTTGAGGCAGAAGGCAGAGAAGAATGGAACCATAGAAGCTAACTGGTTCAGAGAGATGTCAGTTTTTGTAGGCAACAGTCTACTTCACAGGGTTGCCAGCTGTCTAAATTTATGGACAGTTGGTAAAAATTCAGGCTAAAACTGCCTGTCTGTAAAGACCATAGAGAAATTTAAGTCCTCCATAAAAACAATCAAGCTTTGGCTGTTTTGTGAAGCTCCCTCTTGGAGAGAAGCTGGGCAGCCAGAGCTCAATTGAAGTGCAGACAGAGCAGAGTGTTGCCACCAAGAGACAGTGCAGCACCCTGCAGGAAGCTTTTTATCAGTGGACTGTAGATCCCTGTAGGCCCCTCCCCCTCTAGTTATGTGCTGCTGCTTCCCATCCTATAATACCGCTGGGTGGCAGACAGGTTTTTTCAGTGGTCTGTGCTGGGATTAGGGAAGTGGGGTTAGTGGGGTAAGGTTTAGGGGTTGCTGGGTAGAGCAGCATGGTATGGAGGAAAGTTGGGGGTGTGGAGTGAGTAGGACCTCAGGGTATAAATCCATTGCTGCAATTGCACAGGGCTGCCAACTTGAGATATTTTTTTTACTGACGGTAAAAAATGTGTGCCAGTAAAAAAGTTTGTCAGCAAAAAAAAAAAAAAAAAAAGAATGCCTGGGATTACTGCTTCACTTAAGGCTATCAATGAACTGGCAATAGCAGTTCTCAAAAAAAGGAATTTAACCATTTCAATTCTTTATGCTTTCCTTCAAAAGGTGCAGCACTTGTTCTGGGCGTGGCAATAAAACCTGTATGACATGCCAAGGAGAGAAAAAGCTCTTGCATTTCAAACAGCTGATAATAACTTGGTAAGTGGAATGGGTAAAACTTAATAGGTTTTTGAATTTATAGTTTGCTTGACAGTAATGCCTTGAGTCCACGCAATATTAGGGCCCTGCTGTTGAAGAAGGACAAGTAATGACAAATAAAGGACAAATGTATTCCTATGTTTTGGATAGAGAATAAAAATACTGAAAACCACTGAAGTCAGTGAGAATTTTCCCATTTAGTTTATTGGGAGCTTGATTGCAGCCAGAATTGAATGCAGGGCTTGGAATCCCTGTCCAGCACTTGACTCAAAAGATTATCCTACCTTGCCTGTAATCAAAACCATCTAGTGGTTAGAATATCTATATTGTGCAGAGACTGCAATGAATTAGCTTGCCTGAGCTAATGTTAGGTTGAGAGTCAGAGCAGAATGGATAACATTAGCACTTTTAATTTGATTGCTTCAGTGCCAGATTTGACATCTGAGTCTAGTGACTAAACTCCATTTGCCAGGTTTTAAACTACATGGGAACGCCGGTTTCCCTATGTTGTTGCTCTAGGATTAATTCTTCCAATTTGGGAGCTCTGGTGCCAGAACGAACAGATGGGTCTCAAAGCATCTCAGATAGTGAGGGTTAGTTAAAAACCATACATCCTAAATAGCTCCCCAACTTCTGACTGATGGCACCAATGCCACTGTTTCTCAAACTTTTTTTCCAAAAAACTCAACAAACCAGTTCATCCTTATAACCATGTTTAACTCAAAAATACCCACCAGCCATCCCAGTGCTAGACCAGGAGAGATGCTGCTTATGGTTTTATGATATGCACCCAAGCCCACTAAGGGAATGAAGCAGTGCCACATATTCATTTGGCACAGGATACAACATAGCCAACAGATGGAAACAAATTTGGATCATGCTACCCTTCTGGATCAGAGCAGTGATCCTGAGATGAAAAACTCTGTATCTCATTACTAAATCCTCCACACACTTAATCCCTCAGGCAATTTAGTGACATAGTAGGGCATGTTATCCCACTGTATGTCTCTAAATATATACAGTATCTCTCCTAGAACGGTATGGCTACCTTTTGAGGTCATTCTCATTTAATAACTATGCCTGTATCCTGCAAAGTACAGAATAATGTAATTCATTACTATAGAAGTTACAGCTTCTGAAAGAAGATATATGGCTTCACCTGCAGTAAAGAGTTAATAGGTGTATACATTATTTTGAAGGCTGTAAGGGTTTCTGATGACCATGAAGTTCCCTAATTTCAGGACCATTTATGCAACAGTCATCTGTGTGATAAAAACATACAAGGTTGTTAAAGAAAAAAAAGATGGTGTTGCCAGAGAGCACAAAGGTTATGAAGAATTAATATTGCCCTCTGAAACTAGGACAAATTAGAGCCTTCTTCATATGTTTTTAAAAGGTTCAGTGTCCTAAAAATAACCTTTGATGCTTTCCCTCTCCCCCCCATAGGAAGAACAATGTGTTTGAATTTGTTTCGGAGCATCAACTGGACTTTCCAGGAGAGCTGCTGAGTAAGGTCAATGGAGAGAATGTATTTAAAGATGAAAATGTTCTGGTGAGTGTTAATCTTAGAGCAGGAAGAAATTTGGGATTTTCCTCACCTTACAGTCATTTCCAGACTTTGTCCCTCTTTGCTAAAGATTTGCTGAAGATTTTTTCCTTATGAAATGGATAGAAGGGCAGGTAGAACTTACTATAGCAGTCTAACTGCTGCTCTATGTGCATATGGCCATTGGCCACAAACATATATTCATTTCTACTGGTGGACATTTCTGAGAAGAGTATGTGGGAGAGGGAGCAGTAGAAGCATAATGCCTGTATGTGGCCATTGCTACATGGCAGCAATATAGCTATTATGCCATGGGTTCATGTTACGGGACATAGAGCTCTTGCTGTTTTCACAACTTTTTGCTAATAGGCAAAATGAACATAAGAACTTCCACACCTTGAAGAAACCAGCCAAGACATGTTCTACCTGCATTTCCTAAAATATCTGGGAGAAGGGAAGCTAACCAGGTTACGTACAGAGTAACACAACACTGGTTTCTGATCACGAGTCTGCCAGCTTGAAAATGCATTACACAAAATAATTGAACCAATGCAGGACATAGGCTATATGTGATGAAGTACACGTTTGTGTGGCAGTACATGTTTCCTTCCCGGTGGGAAAATTTGGCCCGTGTTTCTGGCTGACAAAAAATGCAATTAGCCAACACAATGACAAAGTAAATGTTCAGTCATATCAGGTCACAGATGGCTGAATTCATTGGACTAGCCCATATCAAAACTAGGGAGATATTTTTTTTCTCTCCACTGATTATTATCCTCTCTTCAAAGTATTTAACCAGCTCCCTTTTGCTTGACTGCTTTTACTTTCCTGACGGGTATTCCACAAAAGCATATGCACACATCCATCCTTGTTACTTTTTTCATTGGTCTCCTTGCAACTTTCAGCATCTCTGCACTGTTTATCCACTTCTACCACAGTTATTGCCAAGTCCCTTCCTCCCTCAGCTCCTCACACACAAAATGTCCAAGTCTACAGTGACCAAGGTCACTGTAACCGTCTTTTTACTCTGACTTTGTACAGTGCAGCACAACAAGAGGTCCTAATTCATGACTAGTGCCCCAAGGCATTATCACAATAGAATTACTAAATACTAATAAAACCACAGATGGATTCATGTTCTTTCCGAAAGCCCATTTCATCTGCAAGAACTCGTCTGGCTACTGTTGGACATACTGGAAAGCAGCAGGATATCATTGTCATTATATAACAATACAAAAAAAGGCTTTCTAACATGGCCAACCATTATTTTACAACACATTTGGGGTAACCCTTTTCCTTTCTTCTTTTTCTATTTAAAAAAAAATTTAAGACAAGAAATGAGCTACCTTTGGTGTATGTTTGGCACTGGGCACATCATGTGGGCACCATGAGAATTGAGAGCTATATAAGAATACCTCTGAACTAGGTTACATAATTGTATGGGCACGCTTTCATCCTGTTCATGATCAGAGTTGAGTAGCAATATGTTTATCTACAAAAGGGAAACAAGGATTTTTTGCACTTCAGATAAACAAGCAAAATCCTTTTCTTTGAATGGAAAACCATTTGAGCCCTGGGCAACTTAAAGTTTTTTTGCTAGTGTTGGTTATCTTGGGGGATCTACAGTGATAGATGCCCCCTAGCAAACTGCTAGGCAGGTGCTTGCCATTTCCTGTTCAGTTCCTGTGCCACTGGCCACATGGTTTACAGGAGGACTCTTTTGTGTTGTATTTTAAAACATATTTCAAAAAGGCCTGAAATGTCCTGTTGTGTTTCCTGCACAATCAGTTCCATATTAATGTTAAATTTTGATCTTAATTCTTTTTTAAAGGTAACAGCCAGCACCACACACCATTAATTGTTTATACACTACCTGTGCGGTCTTTAATATTGCTTGCTTTTTGCAGTACAGCCACAAAGCCATTGTGCTAGGGACTGTACAAACAAACAGCAGAGCAAAGCTCCTTCCCTATTGCAAAGAGCTTAACATCTAACTAACCCTCTTATGTCAAGATTGAAGTTGAGATTCTGCAACTGGGATTTAGCTGCATCTTTTGTTTAGGGATATAGAAGCCAGAAGAGGGGCCATTTTATACTCCCAGAAGTGTATTGTTCAATGGAGACCCAGGAATATTAAAAAAAATACAAGGCTTGTACTAAGAATCAAATCTTACTACAAAAACCCTCCTAAAGATTTACAGTTGGCACACTGACCACGTCAGTGATCATCCTTCCACACCCAAAGAACCAACACATTTTCCATAAATTTTCCCACACAGAGTAGAAAAGAAAAGGCTTTCCAAACAAGTCTTTGAAGTCAACAAGGTTATATTCTTTTGAAACAAAGTGGACTCAGTAGTGGAATTCGCCCAGCATAACACGGTTGAATCTAGGGCTGTCACATGGGGAGCACTGATTAATGTCAGTCACTGTGAGTCTGTATGTCAGCCTCTAAATAGGAGGATGACGTCTGGATATGGTCTCTTTTCCTGACATAATTGCACTTTAATACCTGTAATGTTATGATAAAATTGGTATAAATCAAGGTGCGTGATTTCATCAGTAAGGCTAACCACACTTCATCATGCATTAGCAGGTGCATCACAAACAGGTCTAGGGAGGTGATACTTCCCCTCTGTGTGGCACTGGTGAGGCCGCAGCTGGAGCACTGCATCCAGTTTTGGGCGCCATACTTCAAGATGGATGTGGATAACCTTGAGAGGGTCCAGAGGATGGCCACTCATATGGTTAGGGGACTGGAGGAAAGATTGAGGGACCTGAAATTCTTCCATCTCAGCAAGAGAAGGCTGAGAGGTTGTCCTTGTGGCTGTCTACAAATTCATCAGAGAGGGAGTTGGGGCGGGGGGGCAGCAAGGCATAGGGGATACTCTGTTTACCAGGGCACCCCTTGGAGTAACTAGAAATAACAGCCACAAACTGACAGAGAGCAAATTCAGGTTAGACATCAGGAAGAACTTTTTCACAGTAAGGGCTGCCAGAATCTGGAATGGGCTTCCAAGGGAGGTGGTGCTCTCTCCTACCTTTGGGGTCTTTAAGAGGAGACTAGACAAGCACCTGGGTGGGGTCGTCTGACCCTAGTGCTCTTTCCTGCCAGGGTCAGGCCGTCGGACTTGATGATCTGCTGAGGTCCCTTCCGGCCCTAACATCTATGAATCTATGATCTAAACATATTCAAGACCTTTTCATTATGTTGTAGCTAGCATATCGTTTTACCATCATATACAAAGTAATTTGTTGCAAGCACTTTGGATTTCTAACGCACTTTTTTAAAATTGCAGGTGTATCCCATTATTGACTTCCCCAAGCCTGAGATATCTCTAGCGTCACAGAGAGCTATTGCAGAACATAATGCAGCATTCACTGCATCATCACGTATTCTGCAGCAGGTAAGAAGGACGCCATAGGATGAATCTGTTGATATTTAATTGTAATTCATAGAAAGCAAGCATGCAGTAGCTGAGGCTTGATGGAATACCTGCTGAAGGACAATGGGAGTCAGTGAATCAGTTGCTTGGCATGATCCCACATTGTAGGCTACACTTTAAGGATAGAGGACTGTATCCTGGGATGGAAAACACTAAAAAGAATATAGGTATACAAGTAAATAGTTAGTTACACAAATATCTACTGACATTCTCAGCAAAGAGGATGAAGTGTTATTCTTGGAGATGCAGATAAGGAGAATATTAAGAAAGGAGGGAGTGTTACCTGTTTAAAATGGCTTGAAGAGAACCATGATTGGAATACTGTGTCCAGTTCTGGTGCTCACACCTCAGAAAAAGGATTGTAAAATGAGAAAGGGTTCAGAAAAAGGACACAAGAATGATTCAACGTCTGGAAAATGCATATTGTTAGAAGTTCCAGCTATTAGTTTATCCAGAAGAGAGTGAAGCGGTGAATTGATCGTGTTCTACAAGTACTGACCCAAGAGAAAAAAATCTGATAGTTAATGGCTCTTTAATCAAACAGAAAAAGCTGCTGCACTGAATGCAAAAGTTGCTTGTTATGTCTTGGGGGGGGCGGGGGGGGCAAATGAGAAGAATAGGCTTATCCACTGAATCAGCTACAGAGACCTAGAAAATACTGGCCTTTAGGCACTATCCTCTCTCGCTAATTCCTTTGCAAGTAGAGGGAATGCACACACCATCCCATGTCTATAACTCACTCTTCATGGTCAGCCACCTTAAGAGGCCAGTAAGAGGATAAGGAGAGCCACACATAGAAGGAGAGCCATTTTCATAGAATCATAGAAAATTACGGTTGGAAAGGACCTCAGGAGGTCATCTAGTCTAACTCCCTGCTCAACTCAGGACCATCCAATTATATCATCCCAGCCAAGGCTTTGTCTAGCTGGGTCTTAAAAGCCTCTAAGGATGGAGATTCCACCACCACTCTGTGTAGCCAGTTTCAGTACTTTACTACCTAGGGAGGAAAAATGTCCAGCACACCTATTGCCTAGGAAATGACCTGCTCATCAGCACGGAAGCGGAAAGGGATCTCGGAGTCCTAGTGGACTCCAAGATGAACGTGACTCGTCAATGTGATGAAGTCATCTGAGAAACTAACTGCACTTTATCGTGCATCAGCAGATGCATGACAAACAGAACCAAGGAGGTGATACTTCCCCTCTATCGAGCACTGGTCAGACCGCAGTTGGAGTACTGCATGCAATTCTGGGTGCTGCACTTCAAGAGGGATGTGGATAACCTGGAGAGGGTCCAGAGAAGGGCCACTCATCTGGTTAAGGGCTTGCAGGCCAAGCCCTATGAGGAGAGACTAGGGCACCTGGACCTCTTCAGCCTCTGCAAGAGAAGACTGAGAGGCGACCGTGTGGCTGCCTATAAGTTCATCATGGGGGCACAGAAGGGAATTGGTGAGGCTCTACTCACCAAGGCGCCCCTGGGGGTTACAAGAAATAATGGCCACAAGCTAGCAGAGAGCAGATTTAGACTGGGCATTAGGAAAAACTTCTTTACAGTTAGAGTGGCTAAAATCTGGACTAGGTTCCCAAGGGAGGTGGTGCTCTCCCCTACCCTGGGGGTCTTCAAGAGGAGGTTAGATAGGCATCTAGCTGGGGTCATCTAGACCCAGCCCTCTTTCCTGCCTATGCAGGGGGTCGGACTCGATGATCTATTGAGGTCCCTTCTGACCCTAACATCTATGAATATATGAGGTGCACAAATACCCTCCTAGTGAGAGCGTTTCTCCTAATATCTAACCTAAACTTCCCTTGCTGCAACTTGTGAGACATTTACACTTCCCCAGAACAAAGGGACTTCACAATTGTCTTTAGGCCTTGAGCAGAGAATGAGGAAAGGCTCCTTGCAGCTCTCCACTGTCTACTGACATCCCTAACTCAATTCATCTGTGTAAAAAGTTGACTGGATTTCTGTTTAACTGCAAAGGCTCAGCTCCTTAGAAGGCCTAAGGCATCACAGGTACATAAATTCAGTACCTGCTCTTGATTAAACACAGTAAAGTGTCAGGTGTTAAGCTAGTTATTTAGGGGCAATAAATATTGTTCAGCTGCTGTACAATAGGACAGTTTTAAAATCAGAATGAAATCCTAAGAGAATTATTTTTCAAGCCTCGATTTAAAACAGACAAGGGAAGCCACTGACATTTCAGTTACTTCTGTTCCTTTTCCACTTTCCAAAGAACATCACTGCAAACAGATGTGTTACTCCCCTTTATTTAATAGTTTAGCAGCTGATTTTCAACAAACAGTCTGGCTGCATCTACGTGAGTATGGATGTTTGGTTCCCCAGGGACAACTACACCTTGTGCCACCACTAGTTGTTCCTGGGGAACGTGTGCGGCATGCGCTCTCTAGTGCATGGCAGGTTACCTTGGGTGTGGAAAGGGAGGCTGGGGCCAGCACTGGGCTTGTCCCAACAGCCTTACCTGGAGTCCTGGGGGCCTCCCAAGGCTGAAGCAGTGGTGATCCTGCTGCTTGGAGCCTGGCTGGGCAGCTGGAGCCTGGCTCCAGCCAGCAAGGGTCCAGTTTTGAGTGGTGCATGCTGCCCCTGTGTGCGCCGCTCTGCTTTTTTTTTTTTTTTTTTGTGCAGGTTTTTTGACCCCTGGATATACAGGGGTCAACTCCCCCCCGCGAAATGCTGCTCCCTTGCAGTATGGAGAACAGCTGAACATGCAGTACGTGGCACTGCAGACTTGCCTGGATTGGCCTATGATTCTATTCAGTTAATTCTTGCTAGGGCCAGGTAACATCTATTGCTTTCATGAGGCATGTTCTTTCAAATGCTTACATATAGCTGGCTTGTACCAGAAATGAGAAAAATATCACCTGAGGTGGGGTGGGTAGTAAAGCGGAAGACCAAAATAAGCCCAAAGGACAGCAATTTGATTTTTCCGCGTGGTCTCTCAAAACTAGCTCTTTGGCAAACTCATGTCTTCCAAATTAATTCCAAGCTATAATCTCCACTTCTCACTGTCAAAAGCAGTGTGTTCATTCAGCTGAGATACACCATCGAAACGTATCCTTTAGCTACATGTAAAAACAGGTGCTGAAAAACTATTCCTGTGCCAGCTCTCCAAGACAAGGCTTTTTTTATTTGGGTCTAGGGCGCGTCCTGCCAGCGCTTTTCCTGTTTAATTCTTTGCACATTCCACTTGCTTCCACTTAATTATCAACATATTTTGGAAATGCTGTTTATTGCTCATTTGCTTGGTTGATGGCTTTCCAGCTGAAGATGGCCATATGATAGAGGTAAATATCAAGCCCATAAATATTCTGTTGGCTCAAAGTGACTATAGTCTAGCAGCTTTGGCTTGCCTCATTGAGTTTTATTTTGACCTCTGACTTTGTGTGCAGTTGTAGCAAAAAATTAGAATTGGGACAGATGTCCAAAGATCATTACTTAATGAGAACAGAGTTTTATTACTTAATAATCTAGACAGGTTTTCATTTTTCTCTGCAGGTTTTACTAAACTAGATCTCAGCTTAGCTTCAGCACTAGATGGCAGTGTCTTTTCATAATAGAAGATCCACTGGCTCTGCGTGCTTAGAAACACTATTGCCAGGCTGAATGCAACTGAAGTAAGAATGCTCTAGACAAATGTTTTGACTTAAATGCTTGTTTCCAGCATGCTTTGGAACAAGGAGCAGGCATTTAACTTGGGCATGTAAATGATCAGTGGGCCCACCTACACGAGATGTTTACTGCACAGTAGACTAATTAGCTGAACAGAAAGTGTTGTGTGTCTAGACCTGCACCCCTATTAGGCTGGATTAAACTATTTTACTCCACAGCAGGGTAGTGCTTGTAAATACAAATACTATCCTGCTGCAGAGTTTTTTACTCCACAGCAGCACACCTGGGGCACAAGGGTGCTCCATTGAGGGGGCTGCCTGCCGGCTGGCCCTGCACTGAAGCGCTCGTACCCCAGCCAGCCTCTCCGCAGTATGTTGGGCTTGGGGAAACTGCCCCTGGTTTGGAGGCTGACCCCTGGGCCCCCTGCCAGCCAAGGCTGCTCTGACCCAGCTCAATGTACTGCAGTCCCAGGTGCACGTGCAAATGGCATGCCCGGAGCAAAAAGCTATAGAATGTATTGCTTTGCATTAATATGCATATGGAGAAGCACCCAATGTGAGCCTTTTTTGTGTGCATGTCTCCTTATTGAAATATTTGGGTTTGAATGATTGTTCTTAGGCTTTGACATCCACTTGTTAAAATGCTGTTAGATTTTTTTTCCCCTCCTAGATAACCCTCTGTTCTGTATATACATCTGCTGCTTTCAAAGGACCCCAAAAGGGGGGTGGGTTGCAACCCTTGGACCCCAGTGCCTATATGACACTTCAAGCTCTTGCACAGAGCAGGTTTAGCAAATCAAGAACCCACTGTCCTAAAGTAGATATTTTAAATGGGTTTGGGGGTGGAGGGGATGGAGTGGATTGATATTTGCAAATTCAACTTTGATTTTAATTGCAAGAGCTCCATTGGGTTGTCTGCTTGTAAATATGAAACTCAGAAGTACAATACTATTTCTGCAGCCATATCCATGGTTTTCAAACCCATCTTCCATATATTCCAAGGCCTATGGATCCTGTGTCTTTATTATTTAAATGTTAGTAGTATCTGGAATCTTTAGCTGAGATTCAGGAACTGTACATACCTATAGCAAAATATAGATCCTGCCTTGAAGTGTTTGCTGGCCAGATAGAGCAGATGGGAACGAGAAAGTGTCTCCATTTACAGGTGAAGAATTGAGAGCCTAAGAGATTTGTTGCTAAGGTCAAAATGGGTGTTTCTAGGAGTGCTGGTGTATGAAACTAAAATCCTCTGAGTCTCTCAGTCAAGCCCCTGAAACACAAAATAATCCTTTTTAATCTTCTTAGGTATTTATATGGTCCATTATCATAGTATTTAACTGCCTCTCAATCTTTAGTGAGTTTATCCTTATAACATCCCTGTGGAGTAGAGAAGTGCTGTTATTTTCATGTTAGCAATGGGAAACTTAATCAATGAGAGGCTAAATGACTACCCTGGTCACACACACACATCTGTAGCAGAGAAGGGAAACTAATCCAGGCCTTTGAAGCACCCTAACCAAAGGTATTCTTTCTTTTCACTTTTATTGAAGATGGGAAAAACAATTCTGCCACTAAGGGAGAGATGATTCAGTAAATATTAAATATGAAGTCATTGCCAGTTTCTGCCATAATAAGACAGATCCCTGAATTTAGTTTTATTAATGAAGAAAAGCTGCAAGTTGTTACCAGAAAGGATGTCCAAAGAAGAATGTGTTCATTTCCCTTCTCTTTTATACAGATGTGAACTTTAAGCATATGCAATGTGACTTCACAAAAGGGGTAATACAACAAGAACTTCCCCTTAATCCCCCAATTTAACTGCTTCATTTAATGCTGGATAGGAAAAATAAAAAAAAATTCTCATTCACTTTTTGCAAAATGTTTTTTTTAGTTTTCAGAGCATCTGAAAGACTGCAACTAGGGCTTGTGCTTGGTTTAGAAAGAAAGAAAGAGAAGACAACTGGAATTGTTCATAAAATCAGAGATATAGATATGCATAAACCTGTGCAATTGAAGGGCAGGCAGCATATTTCTCAAATAACAGTGTGATGATCAGGATCTCTCAATTCTGTGTTTTTTGGGAAATACAGTGGAAGTGAGTTTTGCCGCATGATCATTTGGGTTTGACACAGGGGAGCCGGGTTCATTAAAGGAGGTGTAAACAAAACATTGCTTGTCAAAAGCTAGGGGGGGAGGGATGTAAAAAGCCTTAAACACTCTTCCTGTCCACAGGTCTCAGCACTCTCCTCATTGCATTTTTCTCTTCACTGCACACATTCCCCAATGAAGGAAACCTCAGCAAAATTCACTGCATTCATGAGGGGGAAAGTAATGCCTTCACCCCACAAAATTATTTCAGATCATTACAGTTGTGGATGAAGGACACTAACTAAGGGGTGGAAAGGGGAGGGGGGGGAAACGGGGATGGGGGGGACAGTGAGTTAGGGCAGGAGGGTTAAAAAAATAGCAGCATGCATTTTTATGTTATGTCCAGCATGCATAATTTCCCTGTTATGCCTCTGATTAAGTAGAGAGCTAACCAGAGAGCATTAGCTTGATTTCCTGCTGCCTTGCATCCAATGTAATTGCTTATTCTTGTGCAAAATGCATGTAAAAATCAGAGCAAGGACTTGATCTGTGTATGTGTAACCATTGCTACCACACATACTGGGATACTAACATCTCAGGTCAGCTGAGCATTTCAATGAGCTAAGGACTAATGTACCTGTTGGCTGTTGTAGGGGAGAACACAAGATCTGAGAAGGTATCTTGTGGCAGGGCACTGTTGGTGCCTGCCACTTTAAGAACTGAGCCAAGCGGAGCGCAGGTGCTTGCCTGCGGTGGCCATTTTAGATCTTTAGCTGCCTATATAAACAGGGCAATTTGCTGTTGGCAGGCCAGGCAGCAATGTCGCCTGGCTGCAAGGCTTCATGGATCATCCTGGAGGTAAGGGCAGGAGCTGTAGGGGATGGCTTGGAGGCTCCTGGTCCTGGGCATGACCTAAAACTGCACCCTGCCAGGAGTGGGTGGCCTGGTGGGGCTCTCAGTGGCATGGGAGCCCCCAGGAAATACCAGTCCAGTTACCACCCCGGTGAAAGGCAAGTTGGGGCACCTTAATAACCCCAGCTCCCACAACCGGGTGGGTTACTCCCTTGTAGGGTCTGGAAGGTGGACCCTGGAGAGAGAGTGGGGCTATAGACTCAGAACATGTCTTGAAATCTCCTGACTGGTCAATGCTGGGGCCAGGACTGGAAGGGTTGAAGGGCCAGGGGCCCACCACGAGGGATGCCCAGAGCTGAGGGCCTGGGATTCTGACTGGCCTGGAGGTGAGGCCAGGGCCAGTGGAGCCAAAGGTCCTGGGGGAACCACACCCATAAGGGGGAACAGATGAGGGAGCTAGGCAGCCTCAATGAATGAATGAATGAATGAATGAAAGTGGAGCAGGCCGCCTGAGTGGAAGGATCCAGGTGGGGTTCAAACTGGAGGATTCTGGGGCCCAGAGTGGGGCTGGTGATGGGACCCAACAGTGGATGCCATCTGCGAGGCTTGGGTTGTGGTGTAGGAGAGTAACGGAGCCACAGATAGCACCCCCTGGCATTGGGGCAAGAAATAGGCAGCCTCCCACCTAATGAAAATCATTAATTAACAAGGCATGGCAGACAAGAAGGTGGGTGGTTGGCCCAGAACAGGTGGGCGGGGCGTTGGTAGATCAGCCCCAGAGAAGGCCCCTTGTTACATCTCTCTTAGGGCATGGGTGGGCAAAATCTATCCTGTGGGCCAGATCTGGCTGGCAGTGGACTCCGTTTCCCAGCAGTCCCAGTTGGGGATGCTTTCCTGGGGCCAGTTTCCATGGAGACCGGCCCCAGCAGCACTGGCAGGGCATGTGGCAGGGTGGGGAGCTGCTCCGGGGCTGGGCCAGGATCTTGTAGCAGTGACAATGTGGTCCAGGGGCATGCAGGCAGCAGGTTGTGGCTATACCCTGGCTCCTTGCAGTGGGATAGCATGGTTTGGACCTGGGGCAGAGCCATGATCTGCTGCCTGTACACCCCAGTTGTGCCCAGAGCATGCAGGCTGAAGATCATGGCTCTGCCCTGGTTCTGGATCATGCTGTCACCCCTGCAGGATCCCAGCCCAGCCACAGAGCAGCTCCCCACCCTGCTGCATGCTCTGCTAGTGCCGTTGGGGCCAGCATCCATGGAAACCCTGGTCCCACACTATCATGGCGTGGCTGCTGCTGGGGCCAGTTTCTAGGGAGACCCCAGCCATGAGGGCAGAGGCTGCTGGGAAATGGAGTCCAGCCACGGGCTGGATCCACCATTTTGTCCACTCCATCTTAGGGCAAAGCTTTTTTTCAGCCACCAAACTGTAGTTTTTCTTTATGGTGTGCTATCATTATAGTAGAGAGATTCTGAAGCTGTCTGCAGTCATTTTCAGCTATAAACCCAAACTCATCCTTTAGATGTGTTTAGTTTGGAGATTACAATTGGAGCCATAATTGGAAAAGGAGACAACCAATCTGCAGACTGTGCTCAGTTTGGTTCGTGTGAGAAAGTCCTATGGTTTCTTCCTGCTGCAAGAAGACAGTGGCGAAATACAGTGTTCCAATAAATATGATATATCAGATAGAAAAAAATGACGCTGCAGTTCATCTTGGCCAAAAGGCTGAATGCACTCTTTACTCATAGAAAGCAACATTAACTAATTATTACCATACAACTGGAGTTTGCAGCACTTCTCTCTTCCCTTCCTTAGCTATGGAGTGCAAGTTAAGGAAATTATTAGTAAGGCTTAAACTTTGCAGAATTTCTGTGATAAGAAGCTCTACAGAAAGATTCAGTGCAAGTTTGGCTGCTTTATTCTCACATTGTCATAGCAAAAGCTTTCCTACCACTCTTCTGCAAAGAGCAGCAAAATGTGACTGTAGAAATGCTGAAAAGAATCAGCAGTTTAGCTACCACAGATGCACCTACATTGAATGTCTTCTTTAAAAGCTCTTTGGGTCTAGTGCTACCTACAGATCTTTGTCTGTTCCTTTGCTGATCCTTGTCTTAAAACTATCTAATGTTGTTTCTTCTTGGACAGTTTACTAGTCATTTTGCTGTTAGCTTTGGGAGGAGACTTGTAGTGAGTGTTGTTTTCCTTCTTTTTAAAGAATAAAAGATCCCTGCAGGCAAGAAGTGGAGGTAAAATCCAACAGTCAAGACAAGACAAATACAGCAGTCCTTTGAAGGCCCTATCGGTAATAAATCCTTCATATAAATCAAGGAGCGATCCGCATAGCAGCCTTGCTCTGACTCTATAGCCCAGCTTCCTGCCATTGGGCTACAGCATCCTTTTATAAATGAATCTGATTTGAAGGTTAATAAGGGACTTTATCCACACTTGGGTCCTTATTCACTAAAGAAAAGCTCTAATTAGCCATCTCATCATCCTGCAGGGAAGGCAATGCAGGCAGGACATAACTCGCAGCTTGCTGCCTTGATGAGCCCCTCTGTCCTACCACTGCCAGTTTCTGAATTAAAAACATGCATTTTCCCTTTCCAGTTGTTTTTGATATTCAATTTCCATTGAAACCAAGGTTGCGTTTACAGGTTCTCAAACCTAACCAGATCATGACACGATTATCTCCCTTGATTGTAGCAACCACAGAAGACTCATGCACACAGCAGCTTTTTCCATCAGAAAACTACATTTACTACTTTCCCATCTGCTTCTACAGGATTGTTTTACCATGTACCTATATCTTTGTACCAGGGTCAGAGAGAGAGTGATGCAACCGAACTCACACACACACACACACACACACACACACACACACACACACACACACACACACACACACACACACACACACACACACACACACACACACACACCCCCTCCTCCCCTCAAGAATACAAGAAGCAGTGCTTTCTAGAGTGTCCTAGCACACAGACCATGGGAATAAAAGGAGACCAGTCAATCATGCCACACAGATGTCCTACTAAGATATTCTGTTTCTACAATAATACATATGTTTTTGGAAAAAATAATAATGTGTTGAAATCAATGGTAATTTGGTACCTAAGTGATTATCAATTCAAACACTCACTGGTTTGTTGCAGTAAGGGGCTGTTGTGGTGGCTCAAGATACAGGTTTTCTGTTTCTGTGGCAAGTCAAGCTTTTCCTTCTCCCTCTCAAGAGGTGTCCAAGTGTTAGGATTCACCCTCCTTCACTAAGTTTTATTTTCCCCTTTTCTCAGCGTCAAACCATTGAACTGATCCCCATCACAGAAGTTCACTATCAGTATGCAGGGAAGACCTACCTCTACTTCATCTATGGACTAGAAAACAAGGTGTATACGCTGGACTACCCAGAGAGGTACTGCTGTGGCTGTACTATCATATGACACCTATGGGAGGCTCCTAAAGAAGAAATCTGCTGTGTGGAAGCCAACTAGTCTGTGGTTAGACTGGCAGTATTAGGACTCATGATTTCCAGTGGATGAATCCAGTGAAGTTAGCGCCGGAGAAAATGGTAAACTGGCAAGACTCAGGTAATTTGACCATCATGTCCTCTGATCCAGCTCGGGGTGCAAGTGAGATAGTCTGGGCATGTCCAGATGAGCACGGACGTCTGTTTCCCTGGGGAAAAGTTTCAGCTCGGAAAATTTTCTGGCTTCAGCAGCCTTACCTGGGGCCTTCCTGGGCTGTAGCCATGGCAGGAAGCCTGGCCGCCAGTCAGAGAGTGGCTCTGGCCAGCAAAGCTCTGGTTTTGGGTGGCTCATGATTGTAGGGAGAGGGAGAATATATTATTTGGGGTGGCTGAGCGCATGCACTTGCATGTACCTACATCCCCCCCAGAAGGTAAGTCTGTCATGGGGAAGGGGCATGGGGCAGATGGAGGCCCCTGCAGTGTGGAAGGGAGTGGGGCAGGGGCTGGGGTGAATGCAGCCCCAGGGCTGGGGCAGGTTTTGAGATGCTCAGAGCCTGGGCAGCTCATCCAGGGGCGCGGGGGGCTCCTGCCACTGTGAGCACCCTGGCGGAAGCCCATGCGGCACATGCCCCCTGGATCTGTGCATAGGGTGGAGGTATGCTGCCGTGGCAGGCTGGGCTCTGCACCCCACTGCTGCTACCCTGGGAGTGGTGCGATGCCATGTGCCTGTTGCCGCTGGGTGGGCAGGGAGCATGGCACACCCAGCGTGGCAACCAGTATGTGGTGTTGCACTGCTCCTGGGCAGCAGCAGCAGCAGGGTGCAGAGCCCAGCATGCAGTGGCAGCCTGCCTCTGCCCTGTGCACAGATCGGGGGAGGAGGATGTGCTTTGCCTCCCCAGGGTGTACGCAGTGGTGGGAGCCCCCGGTACCTCTGGATGAGTTGCCCAGGCTCCGAGCGTCCCACAACCTGCCCTGGACCTGGGACGCCATTCACCCCAGCCCTTTCCCCTGTCCCTGCCCCACTCACTGTGGGGGCCTCGATCTGCCCCCTGCCTCATCCTTTCCCCATGACAAACTTACCTGCTGTGGTGGGCAGTGCTCTACACACCCCTGAGTTGTTGCAGGCTGCGGCTCTGTATCTGAATCTGCGCGTGCCCCTCCCCCTGCTGAAGCCACCCAGAGCCCGTGCCTGGGCTGCCCTGTGGCCCTACCCGTTGCCCTGTGTTTGGGGGAGCTAAGCCCCATTAGCCCCGGCCTTCCATTGCCTATGTGAACGTTGCTGCCATGTGCACTGTCCTGCTTTTTTTTGTGTGGGTATTTTTCACCCTGGGATCTCCCAGGGTCAAAAAAGCCCCTGCATTGCAAAGTAGCAGTACGGGGAATGTCTGAATGCCACACACCTCATGTCTGCACTCGTCTGCGTGTGCCCTTTGGGGGTAACTCCTGAGTCTCATTTACTCCCTGGTTTAACTGGTGCTGTCCCATCTTCATACCTCCCCACCCCTCTGCCCAACATGGAACTGCCTGAAACTTCACCAGAGATGAAGCCAGCAAAAAGAAAAAACAATCACTACCAAGAAACAAAATTAGGAACATGACATGCATACAGGAAATGCTTATTAGCAGTTCAGAGCCTTATCCAAATCCACTAAAGCCAATGGAAAGACTCCTATTGATATTAACGGATCATTCCTTCAAAGAAATGTTTCTACCTGAGAAACATTTTGTTGTTCTTGTATCGTATTTTCAAAGACTTGTTTTATCAGTCAAGTTATGCTGCCTCAGACCGGTACCTTTCCTTATTTTTCTTTCTTGCTCCTTTACTTTATATATAATCTCAGGAAATTCTAATATAATCTACAGTAAAATTATATATAATTTCTATAAAATAGAATTAGACTATGAGTTCTACCATAAAAGAAAATACTTAGTTTGTTTGATGTATGGCAAAACTTCTGTGATACCTTTCATACAAAAATAAATACACAATCCCTGAAAATGCTATGTTGTATATGATGCTCTCAGCATCTGGAGAAGAGATTAAGAATGTGGGTACAAATATAATTGTTTAATTAAAAAAAAAAAAAATCACACCCTGAACTAGGTAAAGTGCATGAACACAAAAACCACTGAAGAACCTACTGTTTTAAACTAACATTAAAAACTTTCATAATTTTAGGACAATCTTCAGATTTTGAGAGGTTGACGTATACTTTTTGAATGCTTGGGTTTGGCAATACTTTATATAGCTGGATAACAGAAACCGACACAAGCATCAATAACCATGGAGTATGTACCCAAGATGACACCTCAGAGGATCCTTTGCTTCTAGTTTAAATGTCAGTAAAATTAGGTATGTACTTCAATAAGGTCAGTATGAGATAAAAATATCATTAAGGCAGACACAGGATCTGAAGACCAGAATTTTACTCTCACTTGTATGAACAACCATATTCATGAATCAATTTGCAAGTTGCACACAGCACTCCTGACATGAGAAGGTGATCTGGGAGAAGATTAGAGATAACGGATTGCCTCTGTCTTGCTAGATAAAAGTATGAATAACTTAGGAATTTCCTGGCCGGGGGGCTATTTTTCAAAATAGCACCAAACAGAATCTGTTGCCTTTTAAAACAAGTGATACTGCTGAAGAATTACTTTCCAGAAGGACCTCGCTCTAATATAAATGTGCAAGAAATAATCTTCAACGATAACACATAGATGGTGGGAGTAAGGAGAAGTCCATGTCCTTCTAGGTTTACCCGCCAGAGGGAGGCAAATGCAAACAGAAATATTCTTGATTTGCCTAATCCCTTGTTCATCTGTTTTGGTTTTACCAGCACTCTACTGTAAGGTTTCTTGGACTTCTCCTAGCAATTATACATAGCCTATATATTCCTTCAATGGAAATAACACTGGCATTTGATTTAGTCAAGCAGTTAGTCATTCACAGAGTCTGCTGCCCTTAGTCTTGTAGACTGATGATTAATGGAGTGAATCCAGGATGCTTTGGGTGGTCTTTTTAAACTGGTCTGAACTGCACCATTTGGAATGAGATTTTGAGTCCCCCAGACCCAGCGAGCGGCGCTCTGATCCAGTGTTTTAGTCCAGCCCCTTGGCAAAACAAGCTTTGGTGAGGAAATGCGGATCCTGGATTCAAAAGTACAGAGGTGAGGTAGGGATTTGATTCTGGCACAAATCAGAAACCACTATGGGAACTGCTAAGAAAATGCTCTGTAAAATAAATATTTGACTTTCCTTTTGCCTCCCTTCAGTCTCTCTTTTTGCTTCCCTGGTGTCAGAGATGATGTTATATAACAAAAAAGCACATTTTTGAGGAAAAGAGCATGTTTCAAAGGGCTTTTTTGAAGCTCCTTCAAGACATCTTTGCACAGTTCACAGAAACCTTTCTAAAGTACAGTTTCAAGAAATCCATTCACTTCCCTCTGTTATGTCTTTCCCACCCACCAACTCTGATACCTGGGAGTGTAAGTCTTGCCCAAAAGTTTATCAAGCAAATCTAGTAGAAACCTTGTTTCAATTTCTTTAATTCCATTTTGAATATGCTGAAAGTGAGTTAATCTCCTCCAGCTGGAAAGAGGCAAACACAAACTAGGGGCACTTGTACATGGGATGGGGGATTAATCCTCAAGGTTGAAGTCTATGCCCCTTAAATTGAAACCAGTGGGTTTTTAATTGAAACCCACTGTTTCAATTTTTCCATCACATAACAGCAAGGGGCCCAATCTTTTTTATGTATTTATTTATGTTTGGAGCCTGCCCACAGCCAGGGGACAAGCTGCCAGCAGGCCAAGCAGCCCCTGAGCTGCGGGGAACCCCGATCCTTCCCTCCACAGTGGTGATGCCCCCTGGGACTTCCCAGGTAGGCTGCCAGCTGGCCGGGTGCTGCCTCAGTCAGCTTGGGGTTGGGGGAGAGTTGGATTGGACTGGGTGCTGCCTCCAAGCTGAGGTTGCATCCGGCTTGCTAGCACCCCACCCAGGCAGCCCCAGGGGGTGCTGCTCCATGGAGGGAAGGACCAGGGCCGTGCGCAGCTCAGGGGCTGCTCAACCCACCAGCAGCTTGCCTCCCTGCTGCAGGAGAGGTGGGCAGGCTCTGCCAAAAAAAAGGAAGTACTGGGCCCCTCGCCGCCTCTGCCTTCAGCAAGTGCATGTTGAAAACAGAAGCAGCGAGGGGCCCGAGCCTTTGTTTCTGCACAGCCCGCCCGTCTCTCCCACAGGTGGGGGTGAGCTGACAGCTGCAATGCATCTCTGCAAACTAAACTCCATCGAGATATAAGTTTAGTTTGCAATGATGCAAAGTCACTTAAACCCCCCCAAACTCTTGACTGTGTACAGTATGACACCATTAAGCCACACAAAGTAACATTTTCATCACAGGTACATGTTAATGGCGTCACGTGTACAAACGCCCTAGGAGCAGACTCCTCAGCTCAAGCAATGCTTTGGGGCAGTGTTGCCCATGCTCACATAGTCGTTCTACAAGCAGCTGCTGCAGCACGAGGGAGGAGTGAGGAATCATGGTTCCCTTGCCACCGGGCAGGATTTGCTGGATTTATCCTTTGGCCATGTTCTTGCCAGTAGGGTAGCATAGAGATCTGCCTGTATGTTGTTCATGGGCATCCTAACTTCATTAACAGGAGCATCCTGTATAACACAATAGCATTGTTTCCGCTCTTCAAGGAGGGACCTTGTACACATCTGTGAAGACCTTTAGCATCTGCCTTTTATATAGCTATAGTATAAGCAGTGGCATCAGAGTGTTACACTACTGAGTAGATGCAAGAAACTACTGCAACATTTCATTTAAATGTGTAAATAAGCCATGTGTGGACTATCACCTCTAGCAAACCAGACAACCAGGTGATTAGGCAGCTGGTCAAAAACAGTACAGTCTCCATTTTATTTGGAAAAATATAAATATGAGGACTATTTAGAATGAGCGGTCGATTTAAAAAAATTCTCCTCACTCAGCAATATTTTTAAAACAAATGTTTTCCATGGGCAATTCTTATACTTCATTACTTCTATCATCTGCCGCTCGAGCATTTGTCACTCATCTTTCATCCAAAATTGAAGCCAACCTCACTCGATTTCTGCTTG